TGCACCTGTTAATTTTCGTCGCCTAAATGACTCTGAGCGACGAACGAAAGGATAACAATATTGTTATAGCTTCTCCACAGATAGCTCCTAAGCACACACTATCCGGTTAGCTATACTTCCAAGATCAATTTTTACTACATATATATTAAAGTAGAACCCAAAATGCAGTAAGCAGATAACCAACATCTAGAATTTAATCCTATGGAAGCGGAAGAGTAAAATCCAAGACAAAAAATATGTTAGAAAATAGTTTGTTAAATCATTTATTCAATAAAAAATTGAAAGAAGAAAAAATACCTTGTTTTAAATAACTGCTTTCTCCGAATGACTTATTAAAATGAGAAAAGAAAGAATCCGCCTGACGAAAGGTTTCTCCACAGATTACTCAGGTGTACTTTTTACCTACATAAAATATTTTCATTACATATAGAGTAGAAACCAAAATGCAACAAAGTAAAAAATGAGAATAGCTAGAATCCTTTGGAAGAGGTGGGAGAATATTGTCCAAAGAAAAGACCATGTTAATTACTAAAATGATAAAAAAAAAAAAATTGAAGCTTTTGACTTTTCAGAGAACAAAAATGAATGTGAAGAAGGCAGGGATATAAAGTACTAGTAGTAGTAGCATACATATATATATACATACACATACACATGCGTGCACGTATGTGTATATATTCACACGTTTATTGCAACTAAAAAAAAAAAAAAACCGAAGATATTGTTACGTGGAGATTCAGTGCTTGCAAAATATAAATCAACTGTACAAATTAATTGCAAAAGAAAATGTACCTTCCTTGAATGACTAGTGCTTTCCCCAAATCACCTTAGAATGAAGCAGAAGGGGAGGCACCTAGGCTTTTTTTTTTTTTTTCAGTGCCCAGTGAAACGCTTCTCCACAGATTGCTCACAAGTTTCTAGCTACGTGGAAGAATTTCATTACATGTAAAGTAGATTTCAAATTAATAGAGATGTTAACTAGCAAAAGCATAAAAAGAAATAAAGGCCATAAATATATAGGAATTCAATTAAAATTTATACCTGCTGACGTGAAACTACTGCTTCTGAGAGACAGAAAAATGTAGTAGATTTTACCAAAATAATGCAATAATCTGCAGAAATTAAATACAATACGAGATGAAAAGTAAGCAGATAAAATCAGAAAGGCTAAAAAAGAACAAAGTTAAGAAAAATGATAATCCAAACATTTGTAAAGTCACATGATCATGAACGTTTTAATTTACCTTGGAAAATATGGGGGCAATGAAGAGAGGAATGCAAGGAAAGCAGAAATGAGACCGGGACAACAGTTGTTAATTCTGCAGCGAAACCAATTGGTTGGTTATGTTCGGAGTTCTAACAGGATATTGTAATTATTAGCAGCTTCAAAAGGAATGAATGTAATAACATAAATGAATTTTATACAAAAGTTAATTGTTGGTATAAAATGTACCTTGCTTAAGTGACTTTGAACCACGAAAGAAAGGATAACAATATTGCTAAGACTTCTCCCCGAATTGCCTGAAGGTACTTACTTTTCTAACCAGCTACGTACCTTCAAGATCAATTTTCATTAATTACATATATATAAAGTAGAAACCAAAATGCAATAGTTATAAAAGCAGAAAATCAATACCTAGAAGTAAAATCCGAAAAGCTAGAAAGAAAAAAAAAAGATTACGGAGAAAATCTGGGGAAAAGAAAAGAGACTTTTGAGTAGGTTTTCAGAGGGTTGCAAAAACGCAGTGGATTTTACTTCCTGGGATCTGGTGAAACTTGTGCAGATGGTTGCAGAAAACGAAGGAGATTTTGTTCGAAAATGATGCAATCTGCAGAAAAAAATAAATTTAAGTTAGTACGTAACATCAAAATGCTGAAAAAAAACGTTAAATGGAGAAGGAAAATGGGGATTGGAATAGATAGGTGTAAAGCCACATAAACAAGAAGCTTATCATTTACTTTACCTTAGAAAATATGGGATAACGGACAGAAGAATGAAGGCAGTGAAAATAGTGGAAGCTGAAAAAA